AGAGGCAAAAAGCAAAAAGCATCCAGTGTTTATTTTTCAGGGAGCCGTTATAGAGGCAGAGACAGTGGCATCACCAAGCTCCTCCCCCGGGAACTGCACTCAGCATTTGAACATTAAACTGCCATAGCTTTGAGCTGTATCAGTGAGCATCTGTGCTTTATCTAAATTTACTTTGTGCATTTATTAGTAAGATATGTCCAAAAGCAATTGTTTCTTCACTGTATGCCATTTCAGTTTATGAAAGGTTTCATACTCTACTTTCAGAGCACAGAGGAAACCTGTATTTTTAATAGCAAAAGACTAGAAACAATGCAATCTTTCTGTGTACTGGTTGAATAAACGATGGTGAATACATTTCATGGAATACAATGCAACTGTAAAAAATGAGAAAGATTTTTATGTTCTGCTGTTATAAATGAAAAAAATAGCACACAGTTCAAAACAGTGTATATAATCTGATGCCTTTTGGGTAAGAAAGAGGAAAATAATTACATATTCATATTCGTTTATATTTTCACTAAAAGAATAATAAAATTTAATAACAATGTCCACCTACAAGTATCAGAGAAGAGGCAAGCAAGATGGATAAAGACAAAGGAGAGAAAAAATTCCAAGCACCTGTATTTAAATTTTTTTCAAACTTATAAAGTAATACCCGTTAAAAAAGAGAAATAATAAAAAAGACAACTGTGTGAGGGCTGAAGTCCCTCCACTAGTAAGTGGTAAAGGTAGAATTTGAATCCAAGTCTATCTGCTCCCAAGTCCATATTCCTGCCTTCCCCAAAACTCAAGCAACTCACCTGCTGGTAGCCGGCCGGCAGGACCAAACTAGAGACATAGGGTCCTGCTCCCACTCTCAGATCTCCCCTCTAGTGGTTCAGTACCTGGAGATTCCAAAGCACCAATTCATTTGGGTTTGTTGGATTTTTTTAATCTCCATCGAAGAATCAGGTAGTAATAACAAGTCAGAGTGGGAAGCCATTTGCAAAGAGAGTAGTCCCAGCAAACGTAAGTTGAGTAAGCTTAAATTTATAGCCCTTCGTAATCCAAGCATTAGAGCTCATTTGTTTAGGGTGAGTTGTGCGCTATAAACCTCCAAGTAACAAATAACAGTATATTCCAAATACATTACACCTGTCGGCCTGGTTTATGGCCATGCCTTGCCTTATATTAAGGAAAGGGTTTCTTCTGCCAATACACAACAAGGGGGCTATTCTACAATGAATAGAAATTTCAAACAAAATCCAGAACTTCATAGCCTGTCTACACTGATTTGCAGTGACATATCCTGCAAAAAAGGAACGAAAGGTAATTTTCTACCCTCAACTTCTTTTTTCAAGTTTGAAATCATCCCAAAGCTTCCTGAGAAGACATTTAGAAAAAACATTTTCAACATCTCAGGCCCAGATCGTAGAGCTGTCCCGAGAAGATACAGCTGATCCGAACGTACGTATAATTCCCAGATTGCCCCCATGTTAGAGGAGCATTAGAGAGGTAATGAGTGGTGCCATTGGCCTTGATAGATTAGACTGTCTTCCCAAGACCTTGCTCTCTGCTTTATAGTGGATCTTGCCTAAGCTTAACCAGTCTCCCTCTTCTTAGGAAAGATGGATCGATGTCCCTTCTCTCTCCTGAATCCAGGCCATCCACATTTGCTTTGCTTCCAAGAATAAAGTGCATGGCCTGAGGTCTGTGGTTTTTCCAGGTCTGAATGGGGAAAAATAATTATTCTAGGTAGAATTAATGTTATAAAAGGAATGCAGATTGATAATACATTGAACTTAAAATTCGAATATGTAGTGCCAAGGTCTGTTTGATGCAAGATTATCAAATGAGAGACTATCATCAGTATTCTTTGAGTCCCCCCTTTCTGGACCCATATTGGTTCAGTTACAACTTGGGTACCTACTTGGTTCAGTTACAACTTGGGTATACCTACTATGTGCTGCTTAAATAATGTTAGAAATATGATGGGAGCTATAGTAAGAGAGCACACTCCTCAATTATTGCAACAAGGTACAGTAAATGCTACATTCAAGTTGTTCAGAATGAACAAGGAAAGCATAGAGGATGGGCTCTGGGGGATCAGAGAAGGCTTCCTAGAGGAGGTGATATTTAAGCTAAAGTTTGAAGGTTCTATAGGAGTTAGCCAAGCACTAGATTCAAGTTCATGCATCCGCACTTCAGAATGCCACCATTACCAGGTAGCTTTATGTACCAGTTACCAGTCCCCATCAATTTACCTCTCCTGTAAATTTACCTGCCATTTTCTCAGAATCAGCTTTCTGCTAGTACCCATGTATTAAAATGATTTGAGGTAAATTGTTCTCAAATTTTGGAAGCTACTGTTTCACCACTCCCAAATAGCACTTACATATTTTTTAAAAGCTCTTAATTCCCTAATCTACTCAGGCTGGAGTTTCTGTGGCCTAGGAAACTTTCCAGCACACCTCCATTCCCACCCTTAGATTACGGCCTGTATAACAAATACTATGGTGGAATGCATTTAAATGGACTGAAACCACAATCACTTTAAAATGGGACTTTATGAAGACCAATCCCCTGGTGGTTTTTTCTCCACGCCTCCCACTGCCCACATTTCCAAAGCTTCCCTTACACACAAGTCTCCCTTTTGACCTCAAAAATGATTCACGCCTGGATCAAAACCAAAGCATCGTGCAGGAGGCAGAGCCTAATCTGGAAACCCTTTGCTCCACAGCCCTCCGGCCACACCCCTACAGTAGCCCTCCCTCCCCCAGTGTGTAGTAACAAAAGCTGATTGTTCATAACTGCCCTTGTCACACAGGGTGCTGTGTTAAACACTTTGCCTGCATCAGACCATTTCATTCTCACATCAACCCTGTGAGGCAGGCACTGCCATTAACCTCCTCTGAAGAACCAAACGACCAGGTAATTTGTTCAAGGGCACAGTTAGCCGAGGGTAGGTACAAGATTCCAACACAGGGAGCCTGACTCTTGAGCCCATGCAACACTTACAGTGATGAAGAGTGAACCTCCGGGGCCCCAGACTGGTTTGAACGTCAATTTCACCACTTACTTAATTTGAAAGACATCAGGCAAGATTCTCGGCCTCCAAGCCTCAGTTTCTTCATCTGTAAAATGCGACTAATAACAGAACCTAACTCATATGTTTGTGAGAATGATACTGTCCTGCATGTAAAGCATTTGACATGGGACCCAGCATTTTGGGGGTGTTCAGAAAAGTTGGCTATTGCTATTATTGCATATTTATAAGCCTATGTATTCCCTTCCCCCCAATGTCATTGATGTCATTATTGGTATCTTTCTTCTCAGGTGCCCAAAAGGGTGTCTACCATGTAGCAGATACTTGGAAAATGTTTGTTGAATGGATGGTTCAACAACACTATTTTTCTCTGCTAGTTCAAATGATTGAGTAAGGGCCTCCTCTGTTTTGACACACAATAGCCTCTTCTTGCTAAACTCTATTCCTTAACATTCAGAAATAAATCATCTTGTGTCTAAAGAGAGCATTCTCAAATTCTTAAATTAAAGAGTTATATGATTTTTTTTCCCCCTGTAGAAAACGAGAGAAAGTCAACCTCCCTTCTTGGGCTCTCGCATTTCAGGAAGTTCTCACTTTCACAAGTGGAAGGATGAAAACTTACAAAATAAAAAATGCCCAGGTCAGGAAAGGGAGTGGATTTCTTTTATCTCTGTAGTTTCTTAAAATGTTAATGATCCTTCAAACTTCATTTTCTCCTAGAGAAATTCCAGAAAACTTTAGCTCGCATGGAATATTTTAGGAATGTATTCCTTTTGTAAAGTGAAGCATACTCTCATTGAACAAAGGTAGTTACTCAGAAACACTTGTGATATTGTCCTTCCACAGAGCCTACACGCACTGTTCCTCCAGCTGAAGCGCACATGCCTCATACTCTACACTCTAAGTACTGTTCTAGTCAATATCACTTGCCCGACACTGAAATCTCCCTGCCACCCCTCCCTATTTCTAGCCCACTGAGCTAGTCCCACACATTCAGCAAACTTCCTGCTTAGTCAGTGTATTATTTTCCTGGGGCTGCTGTAACAAACTACTATAGACTGAGTGACTTAAAACAACAAAATTTTATTCTTGTCAAGTTCTGGAGGCTAGAAGTTCAAAGTCAAGGTGTTGGCAGGGCCATATTCCTTCTAAGGGCTCTAAGAAAGAATCCTTCCTTGCTTCTTCTACCTTCTGATGGTTAACAGCAATCCTCGTTGCTTCTTGACTTGTAGAAACATCACTCGTGCCGATCTCTGCCTGTCTTCACATGGCCTGATTCTTTGTATGTCTATATCTCTTGTACAAATTTCTCTACTCATATAAATACTTACCCTAAATCCAATATGACCTCATCTTAACTTGAGTTTATCTGAAATGACCCTATTTCTGTATAAGGTCATTTCACAGCTTCCAGGTAGACATAAATTGGGGGACACTATTCTATCCAGGAAGGGAAGAGATCAGTGTGAGCAGAGAGACACAGCTGCTACCTAGGGTATGACTTGAAAGTTTTTAAGATGAAAAGCCTCCTTCTTGTCCATAAAAAAAAAAAAAAGCTAAAGTGCCCATATTCCACCATGAGAGTTTCCTTTTATTCGCAATGCCTTTCTAGTGCCAAGTAAAATAAAAGTAAAACCTGTAATATTGCAAACACTGTCTGGAGGAACGGCATTCATAAATCATTATCATCTCACACTCAAGGTTCTGTTGGAGTGAAGCCTGGGATCCATGACTTGAAGGGAGCAGGTGGCAAAGGAGACCTCAGTATAAAGGAGACCACAGCCTTAGTGTCCACTTTGGGAAAACCGCCATGTCCCAGGGAGCCCGGAGCTCCAAAGACCAGCCACCAGAGACCAGGCTCCATGAAGGAACAAGGAGTGGAGGTCATAGTCAAACTAGTTCACATTTATTGAGCACCAATATGCTGAGAACCATGCTTGGTGCTTCCACACACGTGACCTCATTCAGCCCTTACGACAACCTCAGAATGAAGAACTCTTTGTCTCCTAATTCACAGAAAAGAAAACAAAGACTCTGGGGAGTTAGGTAGCTTGGAAAAGGTTGGGGAATAAGCATTATCGACCAAGTTCAAACCCAGGGACTGACATCTTCTGCCATTTCACAGAGTAGAGAAGAGGCAATGGAAGTCTCACTTCTGCTGGACAGGTCCAGCTTGACACTCTCCCACTATACGTTAGAGTTTACTCTTCTTCTGCTTTTAAATTGGCAGCCGTTTTATACTGTGTTTCCAATGTGTCTCTGTGTACCTTGGAGAGAGAGAGAAAGAGAATATATGGGTCAATATAAGCAGACTCTTAAAAGCTTATACTTTATCATTGTAATAATCATAATATATTTTACTTTACAGCCACTCATAACTGAAGCCTCTGGGCACCCTAACAAAAATAGCTAAAAGAAAAAAGGAAATTATATTAAACAAAGGAAATACGACTATAAAACCCCAATAGCCAGAGAGCTAAATGAACAACATAAAACCTCCAAACAACAAAACTACAATGAAACCAAGCGGGGAAAGAAACCTTTCACAAGCTTTACCCTAAAGGATTACACACTGTGAGATCACATCTGTTTAAAGCACCATAATTTATCGATGTGACATCAAACCAGAAACCAGCCATTGTAAACCTTTCCCGCAGAAACTCTCAGAAAACTAACCAGGTGGTCGATAGGGGGTTCTGTAGCACGTAGCCAGGGCAACGATGGCTTTAAAATTTTATGTTCAAATACGTCTATGTGAAGTTCCAAATCTTGGTACTGAGATGCAAAAATTAGTTCATTCCATATGGGTAAGTAGAATTTACAAACAGGACTCTTCTTGACAATTTTTTTTTTCACAGATAGTTCATCCATTAGTACTCACAAATGGCTTCTCAAACTGCTGCATTCAATGGACTGCTTTCAACAATGGAACTTCTTTAGAATTAGCCACTGAGTCTCAAATACTATGAAAGTCTTTGGGGAGGATAAGGGCTCTTTCATTTATTAAGTGACTGAGTTACTGAGCCTGTCCTCCCATTCCGATGTTGCAGCCATTTCAAAACAGAAACTCCTGTCAATCCATGAAACCACTACCAACATTTGTTTAGGAACCACTGTGATCACCATATTCATGTTTATGGGGCAATATCTCCCTAAGCAATTACTTCCCACATCCCTCCTACAGACTTTCCCATTGAGCATGAGAAGTAAACCTGCTGGGGAAAAGTCTTTAAAAGATTTGTAGGATTAGAATAGCCCAAAGGTTTACAAAACTATTTGGTTGGCAAAATAAAATAAAATATGAAAATGCCTAAGACACTTCGTACCTCTCTGCACAATGTTTTTCAATATATGTGTTCATCCCAGAGTACTTTCTAGGTTGACATAAATCTGGCCCCCCAAAGCAGGACACTCATATCAGAAATATGGACCTAGAGACAAATATAACTGCAAGAGTAAAGCAGGTAAGAGAGAAGTATAGAGAGAAGAGAAAGAAGGTGGCACTGTCAGGGGAACCTAATGATACAGAAGGATCCATGCATGTTGGGGAATCAGCCCAGCCTGGATTCTCACACACTCTAGCACTTAGTAGCCAGGTGACCTTGGATAAGTCACTTAACTTCTCTGGGCCTCCCTTTTCTCATCTATAAAATGAAGAGAAACTGCTAAATAAACTCTGCTCTTTTTATTTTATGGAAGCCCTTAATATTTTTCAAAAGGATAACCCAGGTCTCCTAGGGACCTCAATCTGGCTAGCTTTCAGACACACTATTCAGTTTAATGAGCAAGCTGTGGAATGGTACACACAGGGTGAAACCATTCACGTTTGGAAAAATAAACCACCAAAATAACACTGGGTGATTTCTATAGGCCCATAGACATATGTGAGAGCAGAAAAGTAGAAGCTAATGACTCCAGGCCAGGCGTGAAGGTGATCGCTTCTTGGAGCAGGCCTGGATTGGGACAGGATAAGTGAATGGGGACCTTAGTACTTAAATACTTCAGAACAGAATGTGTGTATATACTGCTTATATGTGAGAAAGGAAAAAAAAAAAACACTTGTATTTTATGTGACCAAGAAAAACTACCTTGTAGCTTTAGGGAATATAATAATTCTAAAAGAGTCTCTGCCGTTCAATAAATAAGAGTCGGTGTTAAGATAAGGCCAAACCCTGGAGGACCTAAGTTCTAATTTGGGTTGATGTTAAGTATGATTTCCCTTATTGAGCTGAAATTTTCATAAATTGGTTGAAAACACACTTGGAAATAGACTCTGTAAGGCACTGATATGTAAAGAGGAGTTGCAGCTGGGACTGGGGAAGTTCTGTAATGAGCTGAAAACCTGGATGGGTTCTTGTGCCTCAATATGTCAACCACGGGGGCACCAGCCTTTGCCTTTCACCATGTATCTGCCAGGTATGGGACATGCACACACACCAGCACCCAAAACCAGTTTCTGGGGACTCTAATATGGTTGACACATCACGTTAATCAGGACACAGAGCTTTTGTTCCCTATTGTTTGGGACTGCACAGGTAGAGCGATGTTGACATGAGAGAATTCAGTCTTGCTCTTTGGCATTGTTCAATTTAAACATAAAGAGCCTTTCTGGGCCTTTCTGCAAAGATGTTTTCTTCTTGCATACGCCAGAGGTAAAAGTGGCCCTAGCACACAAAGAGAAGAGAAAACGAAATGATCTCTCACAACCTGAGAATGTCTGGTGACTGAAGTGTACCTCTTAACTTCAGATGTAGTTTAGGAATCAAAGCAAAATTTTATTTCCAAGTGGGTTACTCATATCGTCAACTGACTTATTTAGATCGACCAAGCAAAGTGGAAAGATGACTGGGGAGATCACAGGAATTTGCACCTAAATGACTGCTATGTTTTCTTCCATGCACAACTTTAAGAAAAACATTCGACCACACCAACAAAACAGGAAATAATACAGGATCAATGCCCCATGTTTAGTGAAGGGAAGAAGAAAGGCTATCGATCCCTAAAATGCAAGAATAACAGGAGGAAGGAAAAATTTCCCTTCTTTGTTCAGTCCATTTTGTACAAGTCAGATCCCTGGTAAAGCCTTCTATTGAGAGGAAGTGCTAACTGGTGGGCAGAGGACTTGGTGGCCTACGTAGCTGTCGGTTCCTTGCTCTAGGAGTAAAGCTCCTCACACAAAGCTTATTTTAAAAGAAAAAAAAGTAGGAATTTGAATCAAATTAAATATCAACTCACTGGGGGAAAAATTTATGTTACAATGTTTTTGACTGTATAATTTTTAAAAACGGAGTCAGTTTCTATTCAATCTAGTAAGCACCCCTCAAAAAAGTTTGAGTCAATTTATGTGTGAGTGTGTATGTGTGTTTTTAATCAACATTTGGGTTTAGCAAATTGGTGGAGGGCTTGCCTGGTTTTTTTTGTTGTTGTCGTTGGTGGTGGTGGTGGTGGTGGTGGTGGTGTATGGATCGGTTCCAGATCTGTTTTTAAGCACCAACCTACTGAAGGATTATTTTTAGAATTCGTATTCCCTCTTAATCCCCAAATCCATTCAGGGGAAATGTCCAGATTGTCAACCCAACACATGAGAAAATCTCAATGAAGCAGCAAGCAAAAAAGACAAAACAGGAGACAAATAACCATGGGATATATTGTTCAGCTTTTGTTGAGCTTGAAATGTGCCAAGTTGGATATAGGGGAGAGAGGTTTGTGATATTCCACTGGAACATATTGTCACTGTTATAACCAGCCCACGTTCACCGGAGCTGCCAATTATTCCCCAGCCACCATTTTTTTCCTTTAGATTGATCTGCTGCTTGAGGCTGTTTCACACCCATGACTCTGAAGCTTCCCTAGTGGCATGTTGGCTAATTAAGAGCAAAATCCATCTCTTGATGAAATAATGCTGCCACTGAAAAGGAATTCTACATTTTTTTAAATTCTTAATCAGGCTGGAAGAAGCAGTATTCTAACACTGTATGAAGCATAGGAAAAAGGTCTATAGCTAGCAATTAGCAATGATGAAAAGGACAGCGATTTAAAGCATGTTGCGGTGACATTTTTATCAAATTAAATGAGTTTGCTAGGCCCACCAGCTGCATATGCTTATTGTCATTTACTGTTTGGACAGCAACACATCAGCCACTGAGTATCAGGAGGTGCTGAATTTAATAAGTCATTTTGACACTGGTGTGAAACGAGCAGATCAGCATTCTGAGGAATGTGTTCACACTCCGAACAGACAGGCAGACATTCTAAGCATGCAAGGTGACACCAATCAACAGGAAGAAATGATGAAAGCCAGGCTAGGAAGCAGGCAGGAGTGGTGGCAGCAGTGGCAGCCATAGAGATACACCACTGTGACAAAAGAAAAAGATACATACACATGCACGCACACACACACATATATACACATGCACACACACACACATATACACACATGCACGCACACACACACACACACGCACGCATGCACCCCCCAAACCTGTTATTCCTCAGTTTAGCTGGACAGAAGCAAACACTTTTCAGAAACACTGCAATGTGTACCCATCCTAGACACTGTAAATTTTCATGTATAATTTAAAAACCTACACAATTACACTATAACAACCACTAGAATTAGCCAATAAATGTTCAAAAAACTTTTTTGGCCCCCTCATGTTTGAAACACAGCATCCTATTCAAAAGAAACAAACAAAAAATTCCTTCGCATTCTGAGAAAACAAGTTTTGGTTTACCTTTTCTATCTAACACATTTGCTCTAAACTGATTGTCTTCCTAGGGTAGGAAGAGGTAGTGTTTCTTGGTTTTGATTTATGGTGAGATGAGGGTAGATGTTGCTTTCAAAACTCTTGTTTGAAATATGAGACGTGGAATGACATTCTGATAATCCCAGGAGCTATTTATGTCGAGGGAGAGATCTGATACCAATGTCTTAACCATGTACCTGGCATCAGAGTTAAAACACACCAGAAAGTCAATTGCCAATTACCTCTTAAAACATGCAGGTGTAATTTACAGCCTAAAAAGGTGACTAGTAATTAGTTCATGGCTTCAGAAGTTTCTAATGCCATCTAGTGGAAATGGTAAATTTGATCACTTGTGCATGAAAGGGAAGCCTTGAATCCCAGCTAATACGTCATTATGCTGCCTCATATTCAGAAAACTCAACCCCAGAGTCCTATCTCAACAGTATCTCAAAAAATTTCTTTGCTGTGGTGCTTTTGTAAAACTAGAATGTGCCTTAGAAAATGAGACTTGCCCAGAATAC